GAGCTGTACAAAAATATATTTGAAACGAATTACCATCAAAATGTTCAACTTCTAATAAAGTCGAAATCTTTGTAAAACACCTTGAAATTGTCAAAAACAATATATAAACAGCATGTTCACGTGTGATCACTTGTCATTCCTTCACAAATACAAACGTGACCTTACAGGAATAATTCATAGCCCCAGTGTTACATTCAGCAATTTCAAGCATCCATATAACCTTTTATATCCTGACTAGTGCTGAAAAAATTAAGCATACCTTTAATTGTATATTAGAGCTCACTGGTTCACGAAAGTTTGGTAGAACAAAAACAGTTTCTTCAGATCTGAGCAACAGTGCAAATATACCTTCCTAATAATAGAAAATAATTTCATAGATTTTTTATTATTATAGAAACTTCCAATAAGGGTTGTACAGTGATCGCAAAATCTTAATCTTTCAGTTGGTACCCAACTACCCAAACATTTTATTTATTTAAAGAGTTACAGCAATGATTAGGAACTATTTTGTTCAAACTTGAAATGTACAACTTGAAATGTACACATGTATATTCTTTTTGACCAGACCATATTAGTGATTTTATATCTAAAGAATAAAGTAAATATATTATCTCAGTTATGTTATTGTTTACTTTAAAAGATACCATCCCCCCCTCCCCCTTCAAAAAATAACATTCTGGAGTTTATATTATTTGTGTACCCTTGGAAATAGGCGGGGTAAACCTTTTCTTATTTTTGAATATCGCAAACCAATGAAAATTTGGATTTGCGCCATAAATTAAGGATTTCAAGAGCTCTATGTTAGAGAGTGCTGTTCTGTTTGGAACTCCTATCGAAACTGTACATACGTAAAAACAAGTTGTTGGCATGACACGGGTTATGTTCTTCTCATATATGTTATGATGGTATGATACTAAACCCCTAACAGGAAGGATTGTACCTGATATTCATATGATGAAGACATAATCTTTCAATCAGTTTAATTGAAGTCTGGAGCTGGCATGTCAGTTAACTGCTAGTAGTCTGTTGTTATTTATGTATTATTGTCATTTTGTTTATTTTCTTTGGTTACATCTTCTGACATCAGACTCGGACTTCTCTTGAACTGAATTTTAATGTGCGTATTGTTATGCGTTTACTTTTCTACATTGGCTAGAGGTATAGGGGGAGGGTTGAGATCTCATAAACATGTTTAACCCCGCCTCATTTTTGCGCCTGTCCCAAGTCAGGAGCCTCTAGCCTTTGTTAGTCTTGTGTTATTTTTAATTTTAGTTTCTTGTGTACAATTTGGAGTTTAGTATGGCGTTCATTATCACTGAACTAGTATACATATTTGTTTAGGGGCCAGCTGAAGGACGCCTCCGGGTGCGGGAATTTCTCGCTGCATTGAAGACCTGTTGGTGACCTTCTGCTGTTGTCTGTTCTATGGTCGGGTTGTTGTCTCTTTGACACATTCCTCATTTCCATTCTCAATTTTATGTATAGTAGTTTCAATTGAGTCAACGATACCTTTGTTCGCAATTGTTTAGGCGAGTTCGAATTACTGTCCATAAAGTTCGGAAGCAAAATAATTAAGAAAAGCACACCCGTTCTGTTGGTTCACGTAGGAATATAGTCGGTTCCTGATGATTATGCATTCATAATACATTGTATTCATAAACCATAGCATTCATTATACATGCAAATGAACAAAACAAATAACAACCCCTAACTATGCGACCTTATATGAACATATTTCTTCTCCATCCTCAATGACCTTGTTTGGTTTATTTCTACTATAATTAGCATGATACAAAGACAAAATATTTTACAAAATCAGGAAATTTCACACGGTTAACTTTTGAGTGCGATTTCAAATAAAAAAGCAAAAATTGAGTAAAAGCATACGGTTATTTCCTTGTACAAATTTATTGATAAACAGGACACAGGCATGATATAGAATAATAAATACTGAAAGGCACCAGAATATATTTTCTAACATGTTATGAATGACATTTGACAAGTAATGAACCATCTACAGTTTATTTGTTGGATGTTTTACGAAATTACACGTACGTATTGTGTGTGTTTGTTTGTGATTTCAAAAAAATAGGTGGACAGGTGTTGTTTCATACATCAAGTTTAAACCACAATCATTTAGCATATGCAATTCTAAAAATGACTATTGTTTAAGTCAGTGTGGTTACTTATTTTTCTCCAAAATCTAACGACCGGTAATTAGAACTGCACATTTTTCTCAAATGGTATGAATAATATTAAGTTTTCTAACACCACAACTAAAACTGGAGGGTGGGTGTATTAATTTAGGTTTCATCTTTTGTTTGAATATATTTATATTTCGGGAAGTCCAAAGGTAGGGGTTTATGCTTTTCCAATCAATAGTGGTAGATGGGAAAAAAATGATTTTCTGGTTATATCTTGTCTGTAAATGGGTAATACATAATTGTCACTATTTCGAAAATCATAATTAGATATTTGACCATCAGTCCATACCAAAGAAAGTTATTTCACAGTTCTAGGCTTGTTTGTGATATCTAACAGCTGATATCGTCTCGCATGCAGCTTATAGCACAAACTTCTACATAGCAATTCTAATTGTATCAATGTATGATATGAGAGCTTTGGAATTCAGCTGTGTGCAGTAGAAATACGGATTGACTAGAATCGTTGCAATGTCAAGTTCGGCGTCTAGCTTATGCCTAGTAAACAGCATACTACAAATGAGTGGTTTTCGTATGCACTGTAGTTCTTCACATATCAACAGGAAGTGACTCATGGTTTCCTCATTCTTCTTACACATCAAGCAGGTACTATATGGTGTAGTTTTGTTGAAAACAGCTCTTTTAGTTTGTAATATAAACGTTCCGGTTAAGATTTTTAGTCGGACTGGTATTCTAGAGATGTCTCTTATATTGGCTCACAAGATTCTTGTAATTGGGTGACAGTATTTATTCCACCAAGGGAATCTAAAGATGTGAACATTGGAATTTCTTGTTTTATCCGATTAGACAAATAGTTACGGACTTTCTGTTTCACTAAAATTTGTCCATTTTCCATTGCGTTTTGGACATAGTTGTATCGAATAAGTACATGTACGGATCACCAATTTCATATTTCAAGAAGACGGCTTTTATAGCAAAAACCAACTGTTACTTTTAGTGGTTTTAATTCCTAGTTATCTTTCTGCAATTTTCCATTCGGTAGAGGTGTATCCAGCTCTGCATATATTTCCAAATAAAATAAGTGCCTTTTTGTGTATGACTGCTTCAGCAGGTAGTAAGCCAGATATTACGTAAAGTTCTAGGTCATCTACATTGACAGGTAAAGAAAGGATTTGCTTAATTATTCTTTATATTGTTTTGACAGTGATTCTAGATTTTGTCCAGTAGGCAGTGAAATTTCTAAGCCATAAAACATAATTGGAAAACAAATGTTTGTAGCATACTTATAGCGGTCACTGGGTCTAGGTCATTTTCTCCTTGTAATCCTGTATGCATCAGACTATATAATGATATTCTGGATTTTAAAAGATTTTCCTTTATAGTACTTACAGCTGAATCAGTAGTATCTTTTTGTATACTGATGTGAGATGTTTTGGTCACAATAGGCATTGGTTTGTTGTTTCTTGACCAAATATCTTTTGAAAATATTATTTCATTGTTGGTTTTAACTTGTAAAATCACACTTTTTTCTGGTTGGAGCAGATATCCTTCACGTTGGCTGTAGTCATATGCCATATTTATAAAGACTTGTACGTCAAATGGGTTATTTCCCACTAACACTATGTCGTCTGCACAGGTGGGGCACAGCAACTTATCAAACCGATCTTTCCACCACGTTTAGAGTCTACGAAGTTGTTAAAAAGTTGATTAACATAAATTTTGTACAAATCAGCACTTAGCGTTCCTCTTTGTCTTATACCTTGCTCAATATTGAATGCATCAGATATATCTCCTTTCCAATTAACTTTAGAAGTAGCATCTCTGTACGGGTTATCAATCATCAAAATGCATTGTTCTGAAATAACTAAATGATAGAGTTTTCTAATTAGATTTGTATGTCGAACTACATTATATTGTTGGTTTTTTAAATCCTGAATTTCTCTTTTGAATTCCTTCATGTTTAGGGATGCTATTAGTGGAGCAGTGTTTTCAGTAAATCCACGCTGGAGAGGGATTTGATCTTCCAGTATGCTGGGATTTATCCTGAAAGTATGGTTTCTATTTTTTTTTTCGATAACGAAGCAGTAATGGTAATGCCTCTATTATTTTTTGAATTCGAAATGTCTCCTTTATTTTTATAGATTTGTGTAAGAGTACACGTTTTCAAATTGTTTGATATATATTAGTGCTGAAACGATGCATTGATGACTTTAAGCAATGTGCTATCAAGTTTTGTCCCTCCGGATAGAAAGGCATTCTGCAGTTATACCAAAATGTCAGCTGTCTTGTTTCTATTTAATTTATGTAGGGCTTTTTCGAATTCACCATTAGTTACTTCTTCATGTTTGTAGACATCTAGACATATTTGAATAATTTGAATGTATTCGGAGTCATTCAAATCAAAATAGTCTTGATCAAAGTTTAAAGGATCTGATTCTTTTGCTTTATTAGCAAAATGGGTTTTCCTACCTTCTAGAATATTGTGGTCACATTTAAAACTGGTTTCACCTACTTGAAATTCATCAATGAATCGATTTAATTTCCCTCTTTGTTTTTTTATGAGCTGAAAGAAAAGTTTACTATCCATTCTTCTTGCATCGATGAGTTTTTGTCTATTTGTTAACCGAAGTTTCACATTTTTAACTCCGCAAAGTTTCCTAAGGTCATAAGTTGTATTTATTTTATTTACAAGTAGAGGATTTGACGGCTCTTCAGGTCTGCCGTTGGTTTTCCATTCATAGAAAGAAGGCGTTTTTCTTTGCATTAATTGCCAGATAAATATTGTGGGTTGTTAATTTCAGTTTTAGTTTACGTTTTTTTTCCTTTCTGTGGTGGTACGATAGCTGTTACTGCCCCAGTTACTGCAGTGTTGATGTTGGTAACTGCCTCATCAATCTCTACCGGATCAATCATTTTTGTAGTCACACTTATCAAGTTGAACAGATAAAGCTTACAAGTTTGTACAAATCTTTGTCAATTTTATTCCATTCTTTTTTACGAACAATTCATTCATCATTACTTCTTAGACCTTGCGTAGGTTTCATTGAGAAACAAAATTTAACATTGGCACAAACTTGATAATGATCAGAAATGTTACTTGTTATTTCTAGTTTTCTAAGATGTAAGATATTGTCACTAAAGTGCTCATGATACAACAAGTGGGCATTAAATCGCAGAGATAATCAGGGGCAGTCCCATTATGTAAAGAATATAATATAACATATCGAGCTTTCTTGACGGTCGTCTGTCCACTAGCAATTGCCAGCCTGTTTCGAAACATATAGTGTCCCGACAAGCATACATGGGCATCCCAGGTACTACTCTTCCTGCCTTCAACTGAATATGTTCTAAATTGTCAGAATCTTGTTGAGTACAACCATCCAATAACTCACATGCATATTCCATAATTGGTCTAATAGATGTTAAGTCTATTGGAGCAAGATAATTTTTATTCAATACATATTCCAATTTTTTAAGAATATTTAATCTTGTGCTTGCACAATTTATTATGTTTGTTATGTTATGTTTACACATGGATTTAGAAGAAAAAATAATTTAATTTAAATAAATTAAAAGATCTGGTTTAAAGCACACGAGTCTTGTAATTCTTTCTTCAATGACATGCAATTGAAGATAAAAGTGACGAAATTTACTTTTTACTGAAATGATATCATATTATATATTTGTTTATTTTCTGTCAATGTCTGAATCTTCTGTGAATTCTACTCACTTTCCTATTGTTTAAAGCAATTCATTATCTGCTGAGAAACGATATGTTACGTAGTTTGCATTTCAGTCGAGCCTTCGGCATGTATATCTCGAAAACGAGACTCACCGATACTGCATTCCTGGGCGTCGACGTCGTCAACATTTAGATTCAGTCTGTGGTTTAAGTTTTTTCAAACATCAATAACTTTGCCAAACCTTCATGGAATTTTACGGAAGTTAAACAGAAGCTGTTTATGATCAAATAAAAGGCAGTATTTAGAGAAAATTTAAAAACAGTCTAAGGTTCATGTTTTTCAGACATCAATAACTTTGTCCAAACTTTAAGAAATTTTACGGAAGTTGGACACAAGCTTTTTAACGATCAAAAGTCACTATCCACAGGATAATGAAAATACATTTTAAATTTTTCCGTATTTTGCTGATAAAAAAACTTTTTTTTGTAGATATATTCTGAGGTTAATGTTTGTTTCACATCAATTACTTCGTTAAACCTTCATCGAATTTTATGAAAAATTTGGCAGAACTTTTTTTGTGATTATGCGATACTGTCTGAAGCAAAATTTTGTTTTTCTATTTTTCAGAATTTTACTGACTTATTTTTTTTGGCAATTAACAGACGGTCTGGGATTGATTTTTTTAACATGATCAATTTGTAAACCTTCAGACATTGTTATGCAACTTGGAAATAAGCAAAACTTCAAGATCAAGAAACAGCATCTAAAGTTTGATTTTTTCTTAAATCCTGTATTTGACTGACAAATGGATTCACTTTTTACAGTCCACATTACTCTGTTACACTGACATCGGCAATCCCAGCCGAAACACAGGGTTCCATGGCACTCTTTACGAATTTTTATATTACACCTCGCCATCTAGGAAAAATAATTATTTCATGTGTTCAATAATGTAATTTGCGCATAAGAATGAGAGAAAGTTTAATGAAGTCAAAGTAATTAATAGGACGACAACATTAAAATGAAGACTTGCTTTTTTACTATCTCTAAAGTTTTGGATTTTTGTCGATATCTTATTTTACCCCACATTTCCTGTTTGACATAGTTTACAGTAACTGGTTTGGATATTTTTCTCTCAAATAACACAATAAAATAGATTAAACATAGAAAAATAAAAATAAATTAAACTCTAAAGTATTTTGCTATTGATGAGTTTTAATGACATAAATGATATCTCTTTCTCGATAACGCGTGTGCATCTGGGAGCTTTGCCTCCCTCAAACCAACTACGAGGAGGGCATCTGCCCTGAACTTGCTGAGGGCAGACAGCGTCGAGTTTCGGGAGAACACTTGAAAATTGCCTAGCTGCGCCACTGTTGACAGGAGACAAATGCTACTGCCTGATTTTGAAAAAAATCTAATATCAATATCTTTTGAAGAGTGTTACATGAGAACATCATAGCCTTTGTCTTTCATATTAGGATAAACATTATTTGGCAAATCTTTAGACCATGTTGATATTTGTCTAGATTGCTGTTTAAGACGTCCTCTATTGTGTTAGGGCTATTATTGGAATAAGAAAGGGATGTATCATCAGCTAACAATCGAGTTAGACTTATCAAATTATCAGCTATGTCATTTACATAAATAAGGAATAGTAGGACACCTAATACAGAGTCGTTAGGGACTCCTGCATTAGTATTATCTAAAGGCGAATGTGAACTTGAAACAAAAACGCTTTGTTTTCTATTTGAAATGTTTTCAAACCATTTGTACGTTTTTCCATCAAAACCTTATGCCTTTAGCTTTATTAGAAAGAAAGTATGCTATTCCTTATCAAAAGCTTTCGAGATATCACATAATATAAGAGATGCTATACAGCGGTCATTAAGTGACATACATATCATATAGTTAATTTCTATAAGCTGGTGAACGGTAGAATGAACTTGATTAAACCTAACTGGAATTGTTTGGTATTAAGTGATTAAAAACATTTTTAAATACAAACCTTTCAAATACATTGCCCACTGATGATAACAAAGAGATTGGAATATAATTGGATATAATTGGAAATCAGTGATTTGTCACCGGTTTTGTAAAGCGGCATGACAATAGCTATTATCCACTGATTATGAAACCCTGCTTTTTTCGAATGACGAATTAAATAACAATGATAACGGTACACTTCAGGTATAACTTGTCTTTTTTTAACATTTGATGACTAATTGAGTCATTAACTGAATTATCATCTATAGTAGATATGGAACAAAAAATTTATTCAAAAGGCATGCTTTATCCCAGTTTTCAGTGACTAATTCGTCATTTTAATTTTTTAATTAAGTGATATCATGGATATGAGTAGAATTTTCAGATGTCTTTACCATTTTTTTTCATTACGGAACAATACCATTTAGAATTGCCACATGGGAATTCCTCCAACAAACTATTATCGTTTAAGTAAAATTGGTCTTTTGTATATCGTTTTTAATTTATTCACATGATTTCTTTACTTTTTATACTTATTCAAATCAGGAATGCTATTGGATCTACGAGCTTGTTTGTGTAGTCTATCACGTTTTCGTATTTCTCTCCGTAGGTCAGAATTCAACCAGAGTTTATCATTTGGTCTTCATTTGTAAATTTATTACAATTTTGATCCATACTATTTTCAGCATTAATGATCGATTCCCAATCAAAAGTAGCAATGACCTCGTTAAATCGACATTTTGATAGTCCAAAATCATCCTTTTATGAGTAGTATTATTTTTTGACCTGGTGAGATCATTCAAGAATATGACAGTTCCATCATGATCACTGTACGTACGATCTATTTGTATAACAAGGGAATCATAGACATGACATAAATCTGATACTAAAATAGGATATAGCAAGGACTGGCGTGTGACACAAGATCTGGTTGGTTAGTTTATTACATGTTTTTGTCCATTTAGTCTCATAATATCAAAATCCAAATCAGGTGTTGGTTTGGCTTGAATAAATTTACCGATGTAAATTACAACCCCCCCCCCCTTTTTTGAGCTATTGCGATCTTTTCTATAATTGCGATCTTTTGTATAATGACCTCTATCATAACCCTCAATGATAATATCTTCAGTTTTTATATTTTCGTAAAGATGAGATTATGTTAAACAAATCACATCTGCTTCGTTACTATTACTTTCAACATTGTTTACATTTTTACGCATCCTTCCAATTTTTAGGTGAAAATTTGGAAAAATACCACCTGAAGGACCAGGATTAACTTCTACAACATTACTTAGCATAATCAATAATAATATCACAAATGTTCACATTGGTTTCAATAGAAATAGATTAAGATATATATAATAGCATACCGACGCAAAACATTTGTATTTCAAGAACAGTTTAATTAAATAAAAGTGTCTTTTTCCTAGATACATCGTTTCTCTACGGAATACTGAATTAAGTGTACCGTAGAATTTTTACTCGCTGCGAAACAGGAGAAAAACTCGGCGAGCCTCACTTTTCGTCCAGTTTCTGAAGCTTGTACACATACATTTTATATTTTCCGATATGGTACATATATTTTATATACACGTGACAAGTATTTTTGGCTTAATGATTGAGGAATGTATTCATTTATTTCGTTAAAGTTAGGTAACTTTATTGTTAATGATTTTAGAGATAAAATAATACTTGACAAGGATAATTTTGTCTTATTGTGTATATGTGTACAATTGAATATTTATATGACGATAATAAGAGGTTATTTTAGAACTCATTCAAACGAGACGAAATGGTAACAGTCATTGTAGTTTTCATATTTTACAAGTTACTCAGTCTTTAGATTGTCAACAACTTGAAAGGACTTGATAAGAATATTATCGGAGCCGGATTTCTTCTTTGTAAATATTCTACCTTCAAAAGTCCAAAAAGAGTGAATCTTATTGTTTCTTTTAATTTGGTCAAGCCTTTTGATGAGCCCCTGTCTGTCTCATGTAAGATGATGTGTTATAAATATGTGAGCCGAATTGTTCTTAAGTTTCTTTTTTGACATATAAATGGAGTTTTTATCTTCCAATTTCGGAACCTATAAATGAGTTGTCCCCTTCCATCTTCAATTTGGCTAATGATGTGAGATCTGTTTATGTCATTGACACAGGGAGGTGGTGAAATGCCCAGTTTTTGGTTGGGAATATCAACTATTATGTCGTCGGATTTTTGGTGGTCTTCTTAAGCCAAAGGAAT